CCCCCTCGGCGCGGGGGAGGCCTGCGGAGCCCACCTCCGCCGAGGCGGCACCGGTTTTGCGCTGACGTGGTGTCTGTGTTCTCTGTAGGTGAAAATGGAGCTCAGGCTTGGAAGTGTCACCGAGGGCGGGTGTTTGTGGTGATCGGGGGGTCTGTGCACTCCGAGGAAGAAAATTTATCTCCCGGAGCTGTGGAGCGATGTAGGTTTGGCAGGTTTCGTTATGTTTTTGTAGGCTCTGAGGGAATCTTTGAAATCCGCCCTTTTCCTTTGTCCTTTCATTAGTAATTTATCTCTAGGCCCGCTCTTTATCTCTTGCTCTTCAGGTGCTTAAAGGTTTTTTTGTTCTGCAGCTTGTTGCTTTTTCCGTCTCTTTCAGTGCCTGCAGCAGCAAGTGCTGTTTCTCAGCCTCATACCATTTAGGCAGTCTTGACAGCGGTGGTTCTAAACTTCATTTGTGGCAAAACATTTACCGTATACACCAAAACAGTGCATGACTATGCCAGGCTTCAAAAGCGCAAACGCCTCTTTGATGTGTCCTTGAAATGCTTGTTCTTTCTTGCGGGGGAGCTGCGGTGGGAAGCAGGCTGTGCCGTCAGCCGCGTGAAGGGCGAGGGGTGTCGCGGAGCACCCCTGAGCATGGGTGACTGTAGCGGGCTGGCCCTGGTACTGCTGTGGGCTGCAGGCAGGAACAACTGTGATCCTCGGGAACCCCTTGAGCAGATGTCCCCTGCAATATGCCTCTTAAGCACAGTTCACTGCTTAGCAATGCCTCTTTTAAAAGAAACTGCATGCAGGATGTCTTTCTAGGAGTCTTAAGTATAGTGACTGTCGCATAACACGTCCCATTTAAATTCATCTTAAACCTGAACCAAAATTCCGTTCTGGGATAGCTACTTTCTATCATTTAACTGTTTGGAATGTTGACTTAATCCTGCATTGGAGCTAAGCGTAAGTGACTAATTTTAACCATGTTCTTTGTTTCAGCAGTTTTTAGTGCTGTATGTGTTTTTGTGTATTGCGCTATATTTCTGTGTTTAAAATGCTCTCTATGCAATTACAGTGGGATGTAAACAATGTTTTGAGATCAGTATATCTTTTCATAAGCACTGATTATACGTCCTTTTTATTTAGTAGCCAGAATGTCGAACAAGGAAGTGAAGGCAGCATTGAAGAGTGCTAGAGATGCAATACGAAATAAAGAATATAAGGAAGCCTTAAAACATTGCAAGGTAATTAATTTTATACTTGGAAGGTCATATTTTTTGCACGCTTTGTTTGCTGTCCCCATATCCCTACCGCTGTATAGCAATGTTGAGTGTGGAATGCTTTATTAGTTGAGATTAATAAATTAAGGTTGATTTTCAGATTTAACTTCATTGGTCATTCATATTGGTTGCCTACAGGTAAACCTTTATTCCCCTTCCCTTTTGCATTTGCTTATATGTGGTGATAAGTATATTAAGTCTAGAATGGTACTGATAATAATCCATTTCTAATCCAGACTTCGACAGGAGTGCTTTAATGGCTGAACTGCAGATATGGTTACTGGCAGAACAGTTCAGATATGAATCATTCTCTGGCATAAAAAGCTGAAGTTATTAATCTTAGACTTTTCCTAAAAATAGGTTAACTTCTAATATTACCATACAGAATAATACAGCAAAGTGTAACAACAAAACTCAATACCTGGATCTATAAGATGCATTTCATTTGTCATTTTTGCTTAAAATTGTGTATTTCTAGGCAGTTTTGAAGCAAGAAAAAAATAACTACAATGCTTGGGTATTTATTGGCCTGGCAGCTGCTGAGTTGGAGCAGCCTGATCAGGCCAAAGGAGCATATAAGAAGGCTATTGAACTTGAACCAAACCAGTTACTGGCATGGCAGGTACGTGAATGTCCAGACTTGCTTTTTCTTTCTCTGAAAAGTATCACTGTGGAGTTAAAAATGAGAAGAAAGCAGAGCTGAGACTTGTATCATGTTTTCTTGAGGCCTGTAGTTCTACTGAAGCTTTGGAGAAGCTGAGGTTTGTATTATTTGTGTGTCTGAAGTAAAGCCATGGGTGGCTCTGTATGTATAGCAGGGCGAACTTTAGTTTCAGTATATTTAAGCTTGTATTTCTTCTGCAGACTAGATAGCAGTGAAATGTGCAAGGGAGAACATGACTTGAAACACATAAATTCATCCATGCTTAGGAATTTCCATGCTTGTAGCTCAATAAATATTTGACAATGCTTTTCCCATCAAAGATAAAATGTTTTTTCTAAGTTATTTTTGTAGCTTCCATCATGAAGTGGATTGTTACTGAATCTTGTTACTTAAAAGCAATAGTATATATTTAAAATAGCTGTGTGCTGGGTGGTGTGTGCATGACAACCTGTAACAGTGTATAGTTACAACATGTGGTTGTGTTATTTGTTGTGAAGCATAAGGTTGCATATTAAGTCTGTCTCTTAGATACCAATGATCAATATTTTTCTGAGATGGTAAGGTTCTTAGTGTTTTCAGTATAAATAGCTTTTTACAGTATAACTGCTGGTGCCTGATTTCAAGGTATATTGAAATGTCCTCAGTTGTTTTGCAATTAGATTCTGGCTTTCTGTTACTATACAAGACAGTATGATACTTGGATATAGGTCTTTTATTGTATGACTTAGCATGCTTTGTATATTGTCTATTATGCAGACAAGATTATGTAATATATACAGGTTTCAAATAGTTGTTGATATTAGTCAAGAAAGCAAGGAAAGCTTTTCATTTAAAATAAGTAGATTCAGAAGGTTGTACAGAATTATCAATGTAGATTCTGCTCGGAGATTTCTGCATTAACACTTGACCCCATTGAAGGCAATGGAATAATTTTTGTTGGCAGAACTTTCAGTGTCCTTGTAACACATAACTGTTTACAACAAATCTTACTTTTTTTTTTAAATATTTTTTTGAAGGGATTAGCAAATTTATATGAGAAATCCAACCAAACAGATGTCAGAGGAGACTTAGCAGATGTTTACCAAAAGCTCTTGCAACTCTATGAAAGGTAAATAATATTGAATACCATAATTCAGTCTAAAATTACTAGTACAGTGAATACCATCACTGATACATAGGACAGTCTGAAAGTTTGGATTTTTTAAGCCTTGTTACATCAGTGGGTAAGCACTTGTTACTAAGGTTTTTTGTACCTGTATAAGGTTTCTTGATGTGTCCCTTTTGATAGGGCGAAAACTCTTGGAATAGTTGTACCTGTGGTTAATAGTGTAGAGAATTCTAATGTTATCCTACATCCTATGTTTAAACTCACTGCCTTGAAGCATTTAGCTCTGGTAGTTCATTGTCTGCTTTAATAAGTACGCTTGGTTTTCTCTGCTTTAAGATCACAGAATATATGTTATCTGATTCATACAGGTACATTTCTAAAACAAATGTAACTCTCAGCTCTCACTGTAGCTGACTGGAGTGTTCAGTTTGTTTCCTTAATTTGAAAATTGTTCAAAAAGAAAAGTACAATCCCTTAAAGTATTTTTTTTTTTACTTAGTTATAACAGCAATGAGTACAACTGTTAGGGCGATCTATAGTATTTGTTCTAAATATTTGTTTGGTAGCTGAACCTACTAAAAATGATTTGTCAGAATTTGAAAAACATTATACTATTTTATGGAAAACTTAGCTTCTTTGTGCGGTGTTTTCTTTCTTTCTCCATTCTAGTGGTGACAAGCAGAAATGGTGTGATGTATGTAACAAGCTTGTGGACCTATATCATCAAGAAAAGAAATATGTAGAGGTAGGCTGAGTGCTTTACTTTCTCTCTTCTAACAAGAAGTTTCCACTTTATTAGAACTAACTACTCTTTATCAAGGAATTCTCAATTTTTTCCGCCACAGACCACTTAAGGTCTCCTGGACCACTGCCAGGAAGAACTGCTTTTAACTATGTTCTTTTTTTTTCCACTGCGTAAGGCTTGGGTGCAATCCATTAAACTGACAAAACTTGGCAAAGGATGTTAGTATACAGGCTGAAAGGGTGGAACATCACTCTTCTGTCTTACTTCTAGAAGTCAAGCATGATTCCAAATGCACGTTTGCGTGCAGTATGTGTGAGTTAGGTGTCCTTTGCCTAAGCTTGGCCAGTTAGCTAGGTATCTCATTAGCCCTTCACTGGTGCCGTGATCCCTTCCTCGAGTGTCCCTGATACTTCATGCCAGAGGGTAAGGTGGAATTTGTACACAAGTTGAACTCCATTGCCTGTTGCTTATGTACTGCATTCTGTGCACAACGGTATCAACCGGTGAAGCTGCTGCAGGGCAGCCCAAGCTTCAGCTCACCAAAGTCCGTGTCAACATGATCATTGCAAAATAGTCGTGACTCTTGTCAGCTTA